GGAGGGAAGAGACATTCGAACTCTTCTTCTTCTTCCTCCTCTTCTCCATCTTCCTTCTCTTGTACTGCTGTTCTCTTCTTTTCTTCCTCTTTTTTCTCTAAATTTTCCCAAGTTTACATCAGATTAGAGGACTGATTTACATCTGTTGGTTAAGGAAGCCAATAGCAGGTCCAAGCTTTGGCATGAAGTCCCTTAGATATACATTTTCTGAGCACACCACAGTCATACACTGCTCAGGGGACTAAAATTGTGTGGAAACCAAGCTTAATGGGATCATTCTCTCTAAAGTTGGCTTGGCGTATTGTCAGACACTCAAGTGAATTAGTACAATGTGCCAATATTATTTGGAACAAACCAATTCTTTTGAAAGTGTCAATTTTCTTGTGGAAGCTTGTTAAAGGAAAAGTTGCTTGTGATGACAAAGTGCAGCTTCTTATCCCATTCGTCTCTAAGTGTGCTTGTTGTGCGCAAGGAAACATTAAAGCACAATCTCACTTGTTTATGAATGGAACTCTTGCTTATAAAGTTATGGAATTTCTTTGCTCATATTTTTGGTATCCTGGTGGCGCCTTTCTATTCATTACAGCAAAGGATTCTAATATGGGAAATTTGACGCCTAGTGTTTCTTTCCAAGTGGTCTATTTGGGAAGATTAGTCCTGGCTTTCATTCTTTGGGAGATCTGGAAGGAGAGGTATGCTTGCCGATTTGAAGGGAAGTCCTCCACTAGCAGCGAGGTCATAAGAAAGATTATAGAGCACCTAAAAGATGCACTGTTTCAATTTAAAGCCAAGTGCCCCCCAACTCTCATCCATAAATCAATCATTGAAGCTTTACATGTAGAAAATTCCCCCGTCTAGACAATATTTGGTGCTTGTCAAATAGCTTTGACCCCCATCTCAAGGCTTTAAATTGAAATTGAATACTGACGGAGTGTTTAGACATAGTACTTCTCTAGGTGGGGAAGGTGCCATTATCAGAGATAGCCATGGCTAGATGTTATTAGTGTGTGCGAGTTTCTTTGGAAACACAACCATATGATGGTTGAGGCCATGGCATTGTTTGAAGGATTGTGAATGTGTGATGAGTTGGGTCTAATGAACGTCTGGGTGGAAGTGGATTCTAAAATTCTAGTGAAAATGATAAAAAATATTGTGGTCATTCCCTGGACTTTATTTCCAATCTGGGGTGAAATGGTTGACTTAAACAGCAGAGTAATCTCCAACGTTACTCATATTTTCGGAGAGGGGAATGAAGGAACCATGCTTGTGACACAAGAGATACCTCCTTTTTCTGGCCGAGTGATTCTCTGCCTCTTTCTGTTAATAAGTGTTTAATTGAAGACAGAATGGGAGTGCCATGGATCCGAGCAGGTGAAATAATCTCACTGTTTGTTTTGGGTTTGGATAAAGAGATTCAGGGAGAGGGCTACGTCCTCCCCTGTATCTATTTTTAATCCATTAGTGGTTTTGATTAATAAAATTTCAAGGTGGCCACCCTTCTCCCTGGAGTAAGGTTTGGGGTTAAAAAAATAACATTCATCATTAAAATGATTAATGAAGGAGAGTTTATAATGATGATTATTCTAATGAACTTCAAGGAATTTATTGGTTATTATAAACAAATTGGGAATTGACTTTGAGTCTACATTCGGTCATTGGATTGTTCCTATTGTTCATTTTCTCCTCATAGTGAATATTATACCAACAACCTGATATCAGCCACTGTATTCATCCCACAAACTGACGAGAAAATCAGATTGGCCAAGCAGCTAAACTCATGACTGAAACATAAGATTGACTCACCACTCTAATCCACTTAAACTTCTACGGCCTACAGCTGGCCCATGTTACCCCAAGCAGAGCCATCGACATTTGAGTATCAAAAAATCCAAAATTTGGCTCGTTTCACATGATTATCAAGAGTTTCTTTTGTCTCAGAATCATCGATAATTGTCATTTGTCAATTATCAGAACAGATCTCCTGAGAGGTCAACTTTCCACAATTTTATTCATAATCATTTTCAACCACAACAATTGTTCCAATTGCCTATACAGCTGAACTTGCTCTGCATCACTTATGACCTCTAGGTACAGGATACTGATCAACATAAATAAAAGAAGTCGGGCTTGAAGGATAATTCAAACAAAGATCCTTGAATATGCGTATGGTAAGAAGAAAACATTAAGTCAAGCTATAGTTTATTTGTTTTTCTTTTTATTTCTCTTTTTTTTTTGGGGGGGGGGAGGGGTCTTCTGTCTTTTTTTTTTTTAAATACTTTGAGCTCTTTTACTACTCCAAGTTAGGCTTTGTGAAGTAAAAGTGGAACAAATATGCTGCATGATAGATGGGGGTATCAATTTCTAAAATTATGGATTGTTACATGTATGTTCGGTTTGTTTTCTAGATTCAATTGGTGTGTATTTAAAGTGATGAGTTTTCACTTTTTAAATGGGTACTTGGTTTTGTTTTTTTTTTTTTTCTGGTTAGCAATGGGCACTTGGATTTTGGGGTGCCCCTTTCCCTTAAATAGTTGGATTGCAATGTCAAAATTTTAATCAAATATAGAAATGAAATAGTTAACTATTTGTAAAAACCAAGAACAAATTTGAGATGTAGAACAGTTGAAACTTCGTGGATAGGACATAGCATATTTCACTATTTCCTTTGTAATGTCTTGGGTATTAAGAGACATCTTATTTTAATGGGAATTTTGTCCCTGCCACAGTTTGCTTTCATCATAGACTTGATCAATTGATTTAACCGTTTTTCTGCAAGACATTGATTTTCCTTTGTTTCTCTTATGCTGACCCTTCTTTATCCTTTGGGAAGTTCGCTATCATCTTGACGAGGACCCAAAGACTTTGAAAGTGTTTCCAATTCCACTTCGTGATTCAAGTGGCTCCACTTTGCATTATGACCGCCTGAGTATCTCACCTGACGGAAGGATATTGGCAGCCACCCATGGTTCTATGTTGCAGTGGTTGTGTGCTGAAACTGGAAAGGTCTTGGATACTGCTGATAAGGCACACGATGGTAAGCTTATCCAGTTCACTTGTACATTCATTTTACAAAACATTTTTTTCCCTTATAGCTTGTATGATGTATTCCTTTGAATGTTGATTGAAATCATTGCCATACTATTCACAAAAATATGCTTCCTGCATCCTAACTATCCGCATGCTGTTTCCAAAATCTAATAGCAATTCCGAGATCTTAGCTTCATTACATGGTTCTAGTTTTGCATTTTTGTTGTCTAGTCTCTTCAAACAAATTTCATAAGCAAATAGCATATACAAATGGGTTTTCTTGTTTGTGTACTGGTCTGTGTATCCAGAGTTTTTAGCAATTGATACTCATTTTTTTCTTTCTAGTTTGATAAATTCACAATACATTTGTCAGGATGGATATTAATGTTTAAACTCATTAAACAGCCCTAACTCTCAGTAATTAGTATTCAGTGGGCTCAAAAATCAATACATATTGTATGATACATACCATTATGTTGTGATATTTTGAAGCTTGCCTTAATGCTTCTCTTCCACTATAAAGTGTTCTTGTCCATGGTTTAAAATGTTGACATATTTGCATGACCTATTTCTATTTCAATTGGTACTGACATGAAGTATTACTGGAAATGACATATTCCCTAGTGAAAACTACAAGCACTATGTGGAGTACACATGATGAATTGGTAAAATTATTAGAGATATGTGGAGTAGCAGTATTACGGCCTAATGGACATAAATACATAATGACATTGATAAAAAAGAAGACAAAAACATAATGGCCACTTTGACCAGCTCAAAATTCCCTCTACACATGACATTAGATCTTAGTATTTGTTTGTGCAATACACTGGTTGATATATTAGAATTATTTGCACTTTCTGCGAGTTTAAAATTTGCTTGAAGTTTCAACTCTTAAAGTCTATAGGACAACTTTTCGGCATATTATTTTATCTATTGACCATAGCTTCTTGGCTTTGTTTGATGGTTTGGAACAAGATAATCTAGAAGGGTGTACCTATGTTCCTTTTATCATTTCATAAAATATCATTGTATATTTCTGCATACCTGTAATATTTCCACCATGTCTATAATTTTTACAATACTTCCACATGATATTTCTGATATTCCAGTCTTTTTCTATGTTTCAATGATTGGTATTTTCTTTTAAGGATGACCGATATTTCTACTGGCTTTGACAATTTAAACCTTGTTCTTGGCTGTACCAAATCTTGGTAGGAGATCCTTTACATAGCATATGTATATAAATTAGCTTTTTATACATCGCACAATTGGATTTGATAGCTTGCCTGTTTGGATTTTCCAATTACTGCACTGCTCTTGGGATGGCAGAAATTCATAAAACACACCTAACAGTGTTTTAAAGGAGTGCCTAGGGTCACAGGTGAGGATCATTTTTTGGCTCACCTTGCCTGAACCTAGGTGCACATAAGATGGCTGTCTACTACGTTTCAATTAATTAGTTGAATTTTGTCTATGTAAGTATGTAGGACTTGAGCATACAAGGCTACAGCCTCGGTTATAATAATTTGATTCCCTAACGAATTGAGCTAGGAGGTTTTATTTCTTTCAGAGTATAGATTTGTTGAATATGGTTATATATTAAGTTTTATTTTTAACTTTTTCTTCATGGATAGCAACTAGCTTTGTTCAGGCACATGTCTTGCCTTGTGCCTAGTGCCAAGCTTTAGGAACCTCTTGCACTTTCAGTTGTGCTTCTTGCTCTTAAAATACAGATGCCTAATTTGTAAATACTGGCACTTTCAGTTGTGCCTAGTGCCAAGCATAAATACTTGTGCTTTTATGGCCAAAAGCTATGATACCTGGATATTTATACAAGGGTTCCATATGACGTTGGGCACTTCAGTTTCTAGTTTTAATTTCATATTTGATACCATATCCAGGCGTATGTACACTTGTTCTATCTGGGTAACATAGGCTGAAACATAAATTAAATTATTTGTCTGGTTTCCTACTTGGTGGCTATCTATCTTGAATGTTGCTTCACCGGAAGTTGTTATGCTAGACTCTATTTCTGTCATTTTAATAATATACTATTGTTGCCAAGTTGTTTGACTAGGCATGAATCAGGAATTTTCTCTATGTTGTCTAGACCATATTATATCCCGACTCCGCATCTGTTGTGAATAAAATATGATCTCTATTTTCTTTCTAGTTTCAGTTCTATTGTATGGTAGTGTAAAAGTTATACTCAAGCGGTGCATATGGTTACTTATTTCCTTGGTATGGCCTCTCTTCAGAAGTACTGACCAACTCCTACTTGTGGCAGGTGACATCACAGGTATTGCATGGGCACCAAAGAGTATACCAATGGGTAAGTAATTTGTATGCCATTTTAGAAACTAGAAATTACTAAGAACTTGGGTTTGTTTTAAACAATATTTCTGATGATGCTTTATCCATAATAAACATATTATGGATTCGAAAATTTTCTAGCAAGAGTGTTTACTGTGAACGGTATCAAAGGTTGATTTAATTGAACTAATGGCTGTCCTATTTAATCTGTATGGATGAATTTCAAGTTGATTTTCCTCAGTGGGTCCGACCTAGATATCTTCTATACAACATCAACCTGTTTTCTTAGAATATCGAATTGTCTGACATTGACAGACAGAATATGGTCAATTGTGATGTGTTGATAGTTTATGGTCCAAGTCATGTTCTTGACATATTGGAGAATTCTCAGGTTTGATACATTTGGTAGTTGGTCTTGACCCATGGCTAGGTTGTATGTTGCACTATGCTGTTCATAGTTCAGCTTGTGGTGTTTTTCATTTAAACAAAGCATTGTATCAAGTGGAGGCACAGTCGCATAGATATTGAAAGGAAGAATGCTAGGAAATAATGCCTTTATGCAACTTCTTGAATTATGTGGCCTACGTATAAATAGGGACCTTGGAAAGACTTGTCTTGTGATCTTGTCTTGCAGTCTCCTACCATGTCTACTCGGCAGATATTTGGAAAAGTTGGATAGAGCATGGCTTATTCCTTTATTGAAAATGCAGTTCTCATATGAACTGGTTTGTTATGGGAAACAGAAACATTGTGGTTTGACATAAAAATGGGAAAAAGAATGTCAAGGAAATGGCGTATACTCTTGGGAAACTGTAAGAGGAAGCCTTTAGTTTATATTATTCTTTATAAAGTTATCCTTCTGGTACTTTTAACTCTGCTGTTCTAATCCATTTCCCTTGACAATTCATGTTTCCTTCATTTTGTGAAATTATTAGAAGCTGTTAATGTTTTTCATCCCTACACCAGTTTCCTTGCAACTATAACCTGGAGGCATGTTTGATTCTGTGGCTTGCGTCTTGAGATTCAAATCCGGGGCTTGCCTTGCCTGAACTGTCAATTGTTTTACTTTTGATTTTTTTCCTGCTTTGGAACTGAGTAGAAGTATTAAAATGATCCATTTTCATTTGTTCCTGGAGTGTTTATCTGACTCGTAAACCTCTCACGACATTGCTCCTACAGGGGGGACATCTTTTACCATATTAGCCACAGCTGGTGTTGACAAGAAAGTGAAGCTTTGGGTATCTCCATCACTCCATCCATCATGAAGGAAATTGATGCATTGCAATCAATGGTCAGCAAGAAGCAATCTAGAGATTTAGTAGAGAAGTGTCTCAGCATATGCTTCGTGAGGTTTTGTCCTGATCTTGCCTGAGTTTCAGTAGTGATATGTGCTGTAGTTTTAGGGGAATTGTTAATGAGTAGAAGTCAATAGTAGAATCATTTTTATCTGATGATTGACTTCAAAAAAGCTGTATGCCTTGAAATTAATTAACAAGGTTATATACATTCTTCAAGGGTGTCGTTATTCTTGGCAATTGTCAATATCCTCGTTTATTCTGAATTGACATTCCCGTTGCCCATTGGGAGTCCTTGGTTCTTGATAAATTTGAACCTCAAGGGCCTTTTAGAAACGTTGTTTCGCCTAGAACTTCAATCTATTGACACGCGTAGTTAAGGCTGAATGGCTGATTAATATTTTATTCTGTGTAGTGCCCACATTTGTCTTGGAAAGATAGAGGAAATTAATAGCCAATATTATTGCTGACCTAGGTGGTTTCTGTTGATCCATCTCCTTTGATTTTTCATCAATTTTTGTAAGTTGCAGATGCATCTCCAGATTGCAACCATATGGCTCATCAAACTGTTGATTTTTGTTATGATGTTCTGCTCACTTTCTCCTAATATTTCATGAATTGAAGGTCGAAGATGAAGTTGTAATAACAGTACTATTCTAATCTAAACTTCTAATTGGAGCCGGAGAGGTACACTTTCAGGTTAAATACTCTAAACTTGTAATTTGTTCGTATTGTAAAGTGGAATATAAAATGAAACACCAAACGCCTGACCAGTCGTTATGGGGCCTGCATTTTAGGTTTGGATTGTGAACTTGACTTGCTAGTTAGATTCCAAATGAGTTACTCAGCCGATGGATTAAAACTTTTCAAACTTTTGACTAAGAATTATGGGTTTATCCACGAAAGTCGAAAGCCTCCCTATTGGAATCTGCTTCCTTATTCATGGAAACAAAAATTCTCAGGCCTCAGCTGTTGATCTCAACGCATTCTATAAATCTCAGATATCAGAATCACCAAGCTGCAGGGGTTTTGGTGAAAGGAGAACATTCTCCAATTTCCACCTTAGGAGGACCAAATGCAAACACCAGCGCACCATTTAAGAGTCGATCAGGGACAGCCTCATTGCGAGATAGGAGAATAATTCAACTCAGGTAAAGCCTTCCCGGGTAAGCATGATTCCAATGTTTTTATACATTCTCAGTTACCCCGCGATTCATCCATGTCAAAGGAGTAACTGATACCGTTGGTTATCTTTATTTACCATGGACCCAATATAGCAAAAAACAGATGTGGGTATTGTGGAACTTACCGCCTTACCAACTTATCCCCTGCTAAATACCGGCAAATGAACGAGGCCTTAGTGACTGACATTGCTTACTCTGAAAACATAATTTGGCGTTTAAATCATTGCTGGTTTGCAGGTCAGATGGTAGTGCTTACTGTGATTAGTAGTGGATACAGTTCTTTGTCTATGATCACTTTGTGCACTAATACCTGAAACTTAAATCCCCAAGTCTCATTCCCTTGAAGCAGAGGCTGAGCTACTATCTGGAACTAAAACCTTAATTCCCAAACGATCAATGAGATTGAGAGGCATCGGAAAAGGTTTTCTTAACTTTGAGCTAGCCTAGCAGCTGGGATCCAAAAAAGGTCAGTACTCAGTAGGTCGCCCCCTTGCTGGTTTACTGGTTCAACCTCCATATCCCATCTGGGTAGGTCTGACAACAGTACAAAACTGCCCTCTAACAAGTTGTTAAAGGGAGAACGTCTGACGGAGGAGGGCGAGTTACTTGTGGACCCATCAGATTCCATGACGTACAGATTTGGTGTATGGTCTATGGGTTGCTTAGCAAGTAATCTATATGGCCAAAGAATCTTCTACATTTGCGGCTTAGCTGCTTGGTTGGTGGCCTGAAAGGCTTCACGTATTTGCCACATCACTTTCCACTCATCAGGCAAAACTTGAGCCCAGTTGAGTAGCCTTGCTCGATGACAAATATAATGCCGTTTCTATAGCCATACCCTATAGGAGTTCTCTGCCTCAAATAAAAAACCTGAAACTTTAATAACTTGTACATTGTACTACCTTAGAAAAAAGTTCGGTATGGATGGAGCTAACGTGGACTGTGCCATAAACCAGTGACCATTGTCTTATATGATCCATAATTTATTCGGAGCTGATGTGGTGTACCATGATTGATCCAGTTTGAAATTCAAGAGAGAAATTTCTTGTGAATTGAACCTCCCCCCCTTGACACTCTGGACTCCTGACTTCCTGAGTACTGCTTCAAAGAAAACTAATTGAAAACTTTAGAAGTATATAAATGGAATCTGGATTTCATCCTCAACAAAACTTCAGCCGTGCATTGGGACTGTTCCCCTGCAATTGTTGTAAGGATGAAACCCTATGTCATAAATGTAGTTTTTAGTTATTACTCTCTCTCTCTCTCAATAATGAGCAGAAAGAAACATGAAAAATTTGGGCATTAATGGGTATTACTGATCTATAAATGTTGTGACAAAAATGACAGAGAATATCAGACTGCAATTACCCCATCTCACGATACTAATGTTTTCAGAGGCATAAAGACTAAAGAGAGGTCAACAAAGGAATGCAATTTCCTCAAAAAGGACTGTAACCACCCATCTCTACAAATTAAGCCAAGCATTCTTTCTGATATCTACATTTATTATCCAAATAAATAAAACTTAAGAAAAGAACATGACTCCCCACCTCCTCTCCTGTAGCTTCCCTACCTACCTTCATCCTCATCTTCACTCTACCTTCACACTCCACGCATTACACGTTTCACTTAATTAAATGCTTCTTTAATCTAAAATTTGTTAATGAGTACAGTCTTGTGAACCGCCCAAACCCACTAGGCACTAGCACTAGAGCCAACTATGAATGTGGGAAATCCCTGAGATTCTAAAATACAATTTCCTAAACCTCAAATCTTTATTATTTCTTGATTATAATAATGATATTAATATGAGAAAAAAAAGCTTTCAGAAGGCGCACATCTAATCTTTTATTCTTCACCCACATGCTATTCCTCTATCATGGGTGGCATTCTAGATTTATTGTCTTTTAGTGCATAAAATAATTGAATACTAAAACATTTGAGGGTGTGGTAATCAATCAAACTTCAGCTTCAGCCATTAAGGAGCTCACAACCTCCTTAATCACTCATTCAGTATATAAGAAAAAGGTGATTCAGTCATTCAATTCAGCTACTGGAGCTGTTATTAGCAGCCCATTGTTGGACTGAAACTTGCCACATGAGCAATTCTAATTTCGGGTCCATTTGATTGGAGTCTGTTTGATTCAAATAAGAATTGGAATAGCTAAATAAAAATTGAAATTAGCTGAAATGGGATTTCATTCCCAAGGAAGAGAGAATGAATGGCCATTCCCTCAAATGAGGGAATGGGATTCCAATTCCTCCGTCCCAACCAAATAATTGGAACCGGAATGGCTCATTCTGATTCCAAATCCTCCCAATCTACTCCTGGATTTGATTAATTGAAATCAGCTTGATTGCAAGGCAGAACATTTCTTCGATTTTAAAATCAACATCAACTTCTTGACAATTTTTTAAATTGGACAACTAATTTCATTCTTTATGAGATCCGGTTTTACTTTCTGTTGTTGACCTCTTATATGAAATGTATGGAATCTACTTGAAAAAATGAAAAACGATTCTTGTTGGGGCATGCACTGATAATTATAATTTAATTATTGGATATCACTAAAATCGAAACCACTCCATAAGGCCCAGATTCCTGGAAATTGCACCCTAAAAAACGATCACATTGGAAACACCCCCTTCAGATGCCCAAACCTATAAACTATATTTTATGGGTTTCCAACCAAGACCTCTTATTTTAGTTATTAATTATTATTTTTTAATATTTTTAGGGTTGGATTAGTGCCCGTTGGAGGATTTTTACATTGTTGCTTCTGATTGCAAGGTGGGTTTTATGGGAAAAACCCCAATAAGCAACATTTGATGAAAAATTCAAAGAACCCAAACTAACTATTTTCAGCCATCTACATGATTCTCCATTGAAGCTTCTTCAAAGCAACTCAACCAAACTTAAACCCTTCCTCTCAAACGAAATGGGGCCAGTATGCTAGGGATTAGAGTCTTGATCTGAGGGTAGGGTCAGGTCAACTAACAAAAGTGAGAGTTTTTCAAGAGAGGTGAGCTAGGTGATGCCTAGTCAAAATTTATTTATATACCTTAAGGGGAACTAAAGGAAAATCGTCAATAAATATTAAAGAAACCACCCAAACCCTAGGGGGTGCTCTCTTTTCTTAGAAAATTTCACCAACTTTATTCCAGCTCCCTCAAATCTACCCCCTCCCTCTCCAATACATATACCCACTATAATATTATAACTGTATATATGCTTTAATCAATTTAAGGCATGATTGATGGCCTGAAAAACAATAAACAAAGCAAAACAGAAGAGCTGCCACCCATGATCTCATCCTCTTAATTGGCGAATACCCCCACAAAACCAGCAGAATTAATCAAATCCTCATATGTCAAACCAACCTTTTTAACTACTAAATAATTAAGGGGGTGTTTGATAAATTAATCTCTATAACGTGAGTCTGGATCTCCTGCTCACAAACTCTGCCCATCTCTACCCACATTATATTGCAGATATATATGGGGAACATTTCACCCTCCTACATAGTATTATGTATAGGGAGATGTCCCCAATGCATGAAGGTAGTGTGTTGTGGACATAGTTCTTGTGGGCAGGAGATCTGGTGTGATTTATTTGAATCTACTGGGCTCCATTGTGGTGTGGTTAAAATTATCAGGGTGTTTGGTATGACTTTCATTTATTTGATAAATGGTGCCAAGTCATTGCCATGTGGGCATTTGTCCCATCATGCTATTTCGCACACTTGTTTATTTTGTATATGTATGGCATCGATGCTGTAGATACAACACCGTTTTCTCAAAAAATGGTACTATTGATGTGTGGGTTGGAAGCATCGTTTTATGAGAAAATGGTGTTTTTTTTTTTTGTTTGGAAACATTGCTGCTAGGTAAGACATTTCATGGAGCAACAACAACGTTTTCTGTTTGGTACCAATGCTCCAAGAAACGTTTTTAGCATTGGTACCTATTATCCAGTGCCATGTCATGTCTCTGTTATGGTTTTCAAAACCGGATCGGACCAGAAAACTAGGAACCGGTCAGGTGATCGGTTCCGGTTATCCCCAAAACCGGATTTTCCTTTAAAACTGTTGATTTTGGTTAGCAAACCGCTGACCCAGGCGGTTAACTATTTGAACCATTCGAACGGTTTTGACCAGATTTTTTTTAAATTTTTTTTAAATTTTTTTGTTAGAACAGGCTGACCGTTCGGCTCAAACGGCTGGCCCGGTAACTGAATCCCTGACCAGTTTGGTCTCCGGGTTGGTTTTAAAAACTATGGTCTCTGTGGT